CAATGACCAAATATCGAAAGATTGGAAATGCCACAGACGTTCCAGACCGAGCAATCTACAAGCAACGACTGTCTTGCAACTTTGTCTCTCATGCGCCGGGCAACTCAAGGGCGTGTTTCTATTCGGCCTCGCTTGTTTCCTTAAAGGCGGGCATAAAAGGTATGATGGCATGTTTCAGGCATAAGAGAGAGAAAAAATTTTCTTCACTCAGCCTCGATCCATACATAGCTAACCAAATAGCAAAGGAGAGGTCCTTTAGTTAGCACAGCATGAAAAACGTGGTTTTAGTTTGGTAAGCTTATATATACAACCCCCAATCAATCCCATATTAATAGCAATAAGATGCCGCTATTGATCGGTACTATGGACTGATAATACATATGCAAAGGTCTTTGCGGCTAAGGCGGAGACTACGAAGTACGTTTAGATAGATTATTGCTCTCGTAAGGACTAACCACATATGGGGCAGATGGGATATGACGTCGGCGTTAGAGACTAGAACTCGTACGAAGGGTTGTTTAGTTCCACCCGTAGACATGACGCCTAGACTCTAACAATTGATTGATTGATACACTTTTTATCTTTTATGCATCTCGAGTTGCTTTGCGTGCTATGTTTCATCTCGGCTTGTAGAGACACCTATGCAAAAAAGCTAATACCTACCCTACAGTACGTACATACATTATGTACATAGTAACGCATCGATCGAATCGAGAGCCTAGAACACGGAAGACCTTTTCCAGCTCTGGACCTATTACCTTCTTTTGATTAGGTACTCTCGCCTCGTTACCAACTTTGCACGCGGACGAAGTACCGAGATGAGAGGGCTGACCCCCACAAGATTCATCCAACTTCAATCAACCAGATAGATGCAATGCAATATAAAAACAAAACTTGCGCGGGATGGGAAATGTTATTGTTAGGGTTGGGGGGGGGGGGGGGGGGGGAAAAAAAAAAAAAAAAATTTTAACAGGGTACCAATTTTTAAACAAGAAAAAAATTTTTGTTAAAGGGCCCCGGGGGGTTGAAAAAAAATTTTTTGT